GTGGAGGGGGGCTCCCAGAGATCCGCAGCTCCTCCCAGTCGCTGATTCCGGGAAGAGCGGCTGGAAGGCAGATGCTTGAGGAGGCTAACGTTGGAGCACCGTCGCCACCTGGTGGCGTAGCCTGGTTATTGCCGCCATCACGCCTACAAGCCCAGAAAAAGAGAACAAAGGAAATGTGGGCGGAGGCGCCAGGCCGGGCGATTTGACTGCGAGAAGAGCTGAACCGCCTTGTCCACCCCTGGAAGGTGCTGCCCTCCGAAGAGCTGATCTCCTGGTCCTGAGAGTGTGCAAACAGGGAGCCCTGGGCCTTCCACGACTTCCATGGAAGTCATCATGGAAGTCATCACGTGGAAATTAGAAAGACCACAGTTTTGAGATCTTAGAATCATCAAGGTAATCCCCACCCCCCATCCCTGCCGCCAGGTCACTGTCACAGGGGCTGAGAACTGCTCGAGATCACCCAGCTCCAGTCGCTGTTCCCGCCTCCGCCCCCACCTCCGCCCAAAGTGGGCAGCCTTTGTTCACCAAGGTCTCAGCGACTTTCCGGCCCCAGGCGGCGGAGTTTACCTTATCTCTGTGGCCCTCCCTGGGGGCACTGGGCCTTTGGATCCACGCCCTCTCCCTCCCTCTCTCCCCTCGAGCTGACCTCCCTTCAGCCTCCTGCTCCCCTTCCCTCGGGTCCCCGCCGCCACCGAGACGTCTGTCCTACACCTGTCCTTTCAACTGCCCTTTGCATGTCTGGGACAAGTTGCTATCATCAGTCTGGATATTTCTCCGGGGGCAATCCCCTCGCGTTCACTCCCTGCCCACCCAGAATCTGTACAGTCCACTGTCCTAACCCTCCCCCTGTCCACGTAGGAGGTGCTCAGCACTGCTGTCCCCTCCCCCTACAGTGTTTTCTTTCGAAATAACATAATACTTACAGAAAAGTTGCAAGAATAGTACAAAGAAGTCCCTTACCCGCTTTGGGGGTGATTTGGTCTCTAAGTTGTGTCGGACTCTTGGACCCCATGGACTGTAGCCTGTCAGGCTCCTCTGCCCATGGGATTTTCCAGGCAAGAATACTGGAGTGGGTTGCCATTTCCTTCGCCAGGGGATATTCCGGACCCAGGAATCTGAACCCGGGTCTCCTGCACTGAAGGCGGATCCCTGCATTGCAGGCAGATTCTTTATCGACTGAGCTACCACCGAGCTGGGAGAGAAGCCCTACTCCCTTTACTAAGAGTCATTTATTTTTAACATTTGCCCTCTTTGCTTTCTTACCTATTCTTTATGTTTCCATCACACACACACACTCTCTTAGAGTTTATTAAACCATTTGGAAGTAGGTTACATCATAGTCCTTAACCTTAACTTCAGTGTCATTTCCTGAAAATAAGGATATCCTTATATAAAGTTCAGGAAATGTAACATTGAGACAATGTTTTAGCTTAATCAATAGTGTGTATTTCAGCTTGGATAATTGTCCCCAAAATGTCCTGTCTAGCACTTTTTGTTTGTTTTGTCCCAGACCCAATTCAGGTTCACATATTTCATTTACATGTCATGTCTTGAGTCTCCTTGAAAAGTTAGCCTCTATTGTGTGTGACACTGATATTTATGAGGGATACAGGTCAGTAATTTTATAAAGTTCCTCAATGTAGATACTTCCTTTCCTCCTGTATTTTTTGCTGTAAGTGCCAAACGTCTTCCCAGGTGAAAGTGAAAGTCACTTGGTCGTGTCTCTTTTCGACCAGCTTCACATTGAAGCAATGTCCCTCTTCACTGCCCTGACCCCTAAACCTCATTTTTACTTCCCTATGTTCAATGAATGTGTGCTGTCACCTTTGTACCATTTAGTCTTTCCTGGAATGCCCTCTGAGACCTCTAGGTGAGGCTTAAAGGTCACCTCTTGTATGCTTCCTGACACACCCCTTGGGTGCCATTTCCTCTGAACCTGTCTTTTATTGTAGCTTCTGTTATACCCAAGTGTTACTCCCAAGGGCTCCTGATCTTCAACTGACTGTTCCATCCATTAGTCGGTGAGCTTTTTGAGGGAGAGCCTGCATCTTAGAGAATTCACCTCCTTATCTCCAGGACCTGGCACAATTCAAATGTCTCTTGAATGAGCACATGATAGAAACAGCTCTTTGTGGGCTTCCCTGGTGGTCCAGTGGTTAAGAATTCGCCTTGACAATGCAGGGGACATGGGTTTGATCCCTGGTCCAGGAAGATCCCACATGTCTCTAGGTAACTAAGCCCATGCACCGCAGCTGTTGAGCCTGAGTGCCCTAGAGCCCGTGCTCCGCAACAAGAGGCCATTGTGAAGACAAGCCCCTATCAAACAGCAAGTACCCAGCGCAGGAAAAAAAAACAAAAAAACCCATCTCTTCTACGTAAGTCCTCCTTCCCAGTCCACCTGAAGTGGGTATTGGGGTATCCAAATGTTGGGACAGAGGTGGCCACAGGGCACCTCAACAGCCCTTTGTGATCCCTGAGACCAGGCCCCAGAGAGAAGTGGCTTACTTGCAGGTTCCTTTCTGGAGAGGTTGGCCCAGTGAGTCACTACTGACTCATGACCTTCCTGGACAAGTGCCCTTATGTGGTTCAGCGTGAGCGGCAGGCTAGTCAAAACCAGAGCTGCAGATGAACTCTGCAGAGTTACACAAAATGAGAGACTTAGGTGAAGTTCTAAACATGAAAAACAATTATGTACCTTCCTGCTTAGGAAATAGTCATGCTGGTGAAGGATAATGGTTAGCTCAAGAAGGATGGGGGAAGACTAGAGGGTTTATAACCAGGCTGGGATAGGCAGGGGACTTCAGCCATGCTCTTTATTCTCAAGTTGTGTGTAGAATATGAGTGTTGAATTATTTTTTATACATTCTTATATCCCAAGGCATCATGCCTGGGACATAGTTGCCCTCTATTTTTTTAAAATGTGTTGTTTTGCCCAAGGTTTTCAGTTAACCAGCCCTCAAACTTGTGGGTGCCTACTGTTTACTACTAATGTAAACTGTCTCCATGGAGTGCTTCCAGCTCTAACAAGCAAAGTTCAGAGGGCAAGGTGAAAACAGAATCCCATCCTGTCATGGGAGCTTGAGATGAATGTAGATATAAGTCTGGGGTTAGATCTTAGCACATGGGCTACAGTTCAGATTTCATTTTATAGGCAATAAAGAACCATTACATTCTCAAGCAAGAATAGTTTGAACTAATTATTCATTTTAGCAAGGTGACTGTGACAACAGGCCAGATAGGAGACCAGCTGGCTTTTGCAGTAATCCAGAAGTACTGCCTGCTAATTAATTTTTATTTTTGGTTGTGTCACATAGCATGTGGGATCTTAGTTCCCTGACCAGGGATTGAACCTGTGCCCCCTGAAGTAGAAACGTGGAGTCCTAACCACTGGACTGCCAGAGAATTCTCTCAAAGTAAATTTAAAAAGCCATGTGTGGTGTGAGGTGAAGAGAAGACTGGCTGAGTAGATACTGAAGCTGTGTCACTGGCAGAAAAGTCTGTTTAGTCTACTTTTATATGTCTGAAATTTCTCATTAAAAAAGGTAGGCATCTTATAGAAATCATATACACTGACATGACAAGTAAAAAAACCTTAATTACCAGAATGGATACTTTGTTTTGGCATAAAGTTTTTCATAAATGAATAAAGTACTGTGTCACTTCATATAAACTGGGTAAAAGATAGATCCAAGGAAAATAACAAATGATACAGAAATAGATGTTGAAGAGTTCTAATAACATTTCATTGTGAAAGACTGAGGAAAAGCATATCTAAATATTTTATATGTTTTCATTTTTTCCCCAGTTTTTTTTGGGGGAACTTTCTATTTTGTATTGGGGAGTAGCAGATTAACAAGGCTGTGATAGTTCTGGGTATTTTATATGCTTTTAAATGTGTACAAATATAGTTGTAGATATTGTGGATATTTAACTATTTTCGTCATGCAACTTAGTTTGTGGTCTAACTAATCAGAATGTTCAAATCTTCTCATTAGGAATATGGGGTCTTTTTCTTTGGGAAGGTACTGCAGTATGGGTTAAACAGACTACAGCCATGTGATTTTACATGCAGTTGTAAATCACCTCTATATATAATTCTCTTTAAATGTATGTGTATATATACATACATATGAGGATATGGCAACCCACCCCAGTATTCTTGCCTGGAGAATTCCATGGACAGAGGAGCCTGTCAGTTAGTCCATAGGGTCACAGAGTAGGACATGACTGAAGTGACTCAGCATGTACATATATATATATATATATACACACTTTATAATAAATAATAGTGTGATTAAGAGTTGAGTGGACAGTAAGTAGGGTGGAAGTGCTTCGACATGTAGTATCTCTCTGCATGGTTGGGGTTAATAAACCATCTGGGAGAGGCAGTGAGGAGACTAGGGGAGATTAGTGCTCACTCTGGGGATGTGCTCTCCTTCCCGAATCTTTGAGCACGTTAACAGTAATATCCACTGGACTTTGGTATCATATATTTCCTTTCTTAACAAACTGTCTTATAATCTTTTTTTTTTTTAAAGACTGGGATCAGGCCTCTACTAGAGAGACAAATCAGAAGGGAATTGTGTCTAAAAGAAGACTGAGGGAATGGTCCATTGTTTAGGACTCCATACTTTCTCTGCTGACCGAGCAACTAAGATCCCAAAAATGGTGTGACCAAAAAAAACCCCAAACAAACCCCGAAACTTGACTTGAGGTGGGACCATGGTTGAAATATAAAGGAATGCAAATTCACTGCTATCCAGGCTCCACTCTATTTTGTAATAGACTTTTGCTCCAGCTGTTATCCACTCTGGCAGTAGCCCCCAGCATCACACATCCAAGTTTCTCTGGTTTCGTGTGGGCCCATGACTCACCATCTGCCTGATCTCCTTCTGCAGTATCCTCTCTGGCTCCTTCAGAACACAACTGAAACTCCTATCTCCTTTACACTGGTACCTCCTCTGGCCTGTTGCTCAATCCTATGAATTAATACATCTTGTCAGGGAATGTCAAGAGGTCCAGGCAGGCTTTTCCTATCCCTGATTCATTTTGTCAATCAATCTGAATCACAAGTTTGCTTTTGGACTCGGGGAGTAACTGAAGTTCATCTGGCTAACCCTGATGTCAGGCCACATGACAGCTCTTTGGCATCTTGAGAAAATGTCGCTGACTCTAGCCAGTGCTTTTAGCCAGGTGTGGTCCCAGGTCTTTAGAGACTCACAGTTCCCTTTAAATCCATCATGAAGCAGGCAGAGAGCATGGGTTCAAGATTGTTTTTATTTTCAGAGCCTGCAACAGTTGGTTAGCAATGCTAGCTGAGCTGGTATGATCTGAAAGCCATCCCATCTCCCTTTCCAGGCATTCAACCAACAGAATCCCTACAAACAAGATTGGAGACCAATTCAGATGGGTCTCAGTGTGTGTGTGTGGGGTAGAGGCCTTCTCCTGCTCCCCTCCTCACCATATACTTTTTCTAACAAGATTGTTTTATGTAAGTCAAAAGCAACTCAAACCCATAACATCGCAACCAGTCATCTCCAGTATCACTGATTTCCTCCCCACCCTCAGAAAAGGAAGCTGAGGCAAGAAGGGAGACTGACTCTTGAATATAAGAAAAACTTGGCAACACCCCAGTGGAGCAGAGATGGTGAGAAAGCCAGTACCTAAGGGTGGGGATGAGCAGGCACCAAACAGCCCTGTCTGCAATCAATCCACTCAGCCCCAGCTCCTTGGGAGGTGTTCCTTTGAGATCCCCACTTCGGTGGGGTGAGATGAGGGGCAACTGGTGATGACCCATCTCTCCCCGCCCCTCAAATTAAAACATGATAAACTCAAAGTTTTACCTTCAAAACCCACCACGCTGCTGTCTCCTGAGAAACACACTCTGTAGTCATCTCTGCCAGCACCCACTCCTTTCTAATACCCGGGGCTTCCAGCCCCTCTCTTCACCCTTGGGGGGCCCAGCCACCAGATTCCATACTCCTTGACTCATAAAAGGGCTATTTTTTTTTAAAAAAAAAAAACCAGAAGCTGTCAAAGAGTATCAGAGTAATGAAGGAAGATACTCAAAAGTATACTCCCTTCCCTTATCCCACAGAGCCCCCCTTCCTTGCCCCCCGACACTGGGATGCCTATTCTATACGTTCCAACACTGACTTGGGGGTGGCCCCACAGAAGCTGCCTCCAGTGCTTTCCTGATCGTGACTCTTGCCCAGTGACATCACAGGGAGCTGGGGTGAGGAAGAGCAGGGTCACTCCCCCCCAGTAGGTCTCAGGGGCCTTCGAGGTAGGTCTGGGAGATTTAGCTTATGTCCTAAAGCCAAGCTGAGTCCAGTGCCTGCTCCCACCAGCGTCTCAGTCCTTGGCTGTAAATAGCAGCGGTCCCAGTACTGCAGCGCCTCCCAGGGGAGACAGACAGAGCCCCTCGTTCTCTGTCCCACAACTTCTGTCCCTTTTCTTCCCCCTCCTTTATTCTTTTTTTCTTTAAAAATGAAAGGCAGAGGTAGTCCCCGGGATGATAAAATCCTACCTAGGATGGCAGTATTCTAACTGAAAGAAGCAATTAAATAAAAGTCTCCAGAAGTTGATTTTTTAAAAAAAAAGAAAGAAAAGAAAGTGATTGGTGAAGTTGAATAAATTAATGATGTGGGCTAGCCCACAAAGACCTGTGCTTCCCGGGCCGTCTTTGGTGTCTGGCCAGCAGTGTCTGGCAGTCTTCTCTCCGTCTCTCCCCTCAGGAGACAAGACCAGTGCCCAGCAAGGCTGCAGGAGGCCCATCCAACCATGGGGGAGGAGGAGGCAGAACGCCTTGACTTCCTGCTTGGAACCCTGCTGCGGCATGTGACAGCCTTGGCTGAGCGCCCTGCTGAAGAAGGACGTCTTCCAGGGACGGAGAGGCGGCAGGAAGCTCCGGGCTCCAACTCGGGAGGGTGGGAGGTAGGCTTAAGACGTGGAGGCCTCCGCCCTTCTCTTCAAGTGTTGTGCCGCTGGCCCCTTTGCTCAAGTTCCTCTGCAGCAAAGAGGGGAGTAGGGAGGGCGGGGAGGCTGCCGCCGCCTGGCCACGAGGCCTCAGAGCTTCTTCAGGCGGCTGTACATCTCCCTCTTGCTCTTCTCGCCGGCCCAGGTCCGGCTCTTGGTGCGGAATTTCTTCAGGTCTTCTTTAAAGTCCTCGTGGTGCATGGGCCGGTAGCTGGGGGGCTCGCAGTGAGACTGGCAGGAAGACAGGACAAGGTCTGGGCACACCGGGCCTCCCACGCACACTCCTGCTCCCTCCCTGCCGGAGGCCACAAGGCTCTGCTGGGGCGGGGTAGGGGGGCAGTTCTAGGCCCCTTCTGTGCTCAGGGCAAACCCCCAGACCCTGGGCAGGAAACAGCCATGACCACCAACTAGGGGGTGGTGAGGGGTGGCCTGTGCCCTCCAGAGAGTCCATCTCACCTGGCATTTCAGGAAGAACTCCTTGTATCCGCCCTTCAGGACATACAGCTCTGGGTAGTGGAGTTTGGGGTACTCGTTACCAAGCCGATCCCTCTCTCTCACGTATCGGCACCTGTAAAGGGGAAGGAGAGCCAGAGTCTGGTTAGTTCTGCAGTGAAAGCAGTGCTTCTCACACATCTCCCCAACTTGATCTTCACTCCTAGCAACAGTGCCCAGCTATGATTTCCTCTGCCACCTGTGATCTTCAGGAACCCTGTTCACAGCCAGTTCCACTGCCTTGTCTTGTAAGGTGGATGGTCTCCTCCCCACTTTCCAAGTTATACAGTGTCTGATTCCGATCCAACGTCCCCTCTGCTACCACCAGCACCGATTATTTTAAATCTGAAGTTTTTTAAATCTGATGCTTTATTGTAGCTATACTTCCACTAATTTTAGTATAAAACTTATCTCTGTAGTAAACTATAATAGGGCCTTAGTCGTAAAAGCTTGTGTATTAGGGAGGGGCAGGCGGCGCAGTTCTTTTCACCTCTAGTGTGGCAATATCCTGAAAGTAACATAATCCCCTTCTATGCGAACATGGATTCAACAAGTGTTTGAAAGCATCATGTTAGTTTTGCCGACAGGACATCAGACTTTTCTGGCATTTGCATAAGGAGTCACCAGACTGTCCATGAAGGATGTTACCTGCAAACAGCAGCCCCATAAGCAGAACTAGGGGCAGTGGGGGAACTGAGAGCCAGAGTTTTTTTTTTTTCAGAGTTTAATTCAATATAAAGGCAGGCTGAACTATGGGCCGAGCCCACAAGTGGCCAGGACTCACTCAGGAGTCGGGGTGATGAAGCAGATGCCCGATCCCTGGGGCATGTTGCAGAGGGAACACCAGTGTAATATGCTGGACTGGGGAGGCCACAGAACCCTTCAAAGGCCTTAAAGGCTGTGCTGAAACCATTAGGTCGAGCCTAAAACTACACTCTCGGAAGCTGTTCATGAAATCAACTGACTGCTCAATAGGTAAGAATTTAAGAGAACATCTGTTACACACGAACGATACTTAGCCCACTCACATGCGAGGGCCTCGCTCAGAAGAAAACTCGCAGTGGAACACCACGATAACACGTTTGCCATCCGCAGGTACAATGGGCTTCTTGAGTAAGAACTCCTCAACCTCCTCTTCCATGTGCAAGTTCACTGCACCCTGTGAAAACACCAGAGGCTTAGCTCTCATGCTGGCGGTAATGATTCTTGGAGACTGGTCTTCACATGGGTACCTTAAGATTCTGTTATGACTGTCCGCTGTGAGAGGTATTTGTCAATGTAGGGACTTTCACTGCCTTAAGAGAGTGGCAGACTCGAACACGGTCTTTAAATTACCTCTTAGTGTATTTTAATGGGCTTCCCAGTTGGCACTAGTAGTAAAGAACCCACCTGCCAAAGCAGGAGACATAAGAAACACGGGTTCGACCCCTGGGTTGGGAAGGTCCTCTGGAGGAGGGCATGGTAACCCCCTCCAGGATTTTTGCCTGGAGAATTCCATGGACAGAGAAGCCTGGCGGGCTCGGCTCCCCCCATGCACAGGTCACAGAGTCAGACACAATGAAGCAACTTCACACAGGCACATAATGTATTTCAATCCAATTGCTTTCTTCCTGGGAAAGTTACACATGAAATGCTCCAACACCCACTTCACCAGACAGTTTAACTCAACTATAAATGTAAGAGACATCACTAGGCCTGGCCCATGTGGCCAGAGACTGGCTTCTCCTCACGGCTTCATGTTAGAAGTCAGTGGATACCACCTTGAAATGCCCCTGATGGTGATGGCATGGGGGACAAAACAGGAAGCAGTTTGCTGTACAATTAGTGCACACCAGTGGACATTCTTTCAGTGACCAGGAATCAAATGCCTTTCACACCCGCTGCCTCTATTTACAGTTCTCATAAGCAGCATGTGAGCATTATAATAAGCAGCCAGGTATCATCCCCTCCTTTAAAATAAAAATAAATAACAGATACTGTCTATAGGGCTCCTGCAATGCCTCCCACAGTAGCAGGGCTTACTCACAAGCCTCAGGAATCTATACCTTGATGTGGCCTCCCTCATATTCATATGGGTATCGGCAGTCGATGATGACAAACTCTTTAATGAGGTTGGCAAACTTGCCATTCAAAACAGATGCGATCTGTGGAGAGAGAGCCAAGGAGAGTCAACTCTGGCTGCCAGGAATGACTAGATCCCAGTATCACATGGGTGGCAGGTCCCCGAAGGATAACTTACAATTTCTGGAGAGATGTATTTTAAATCCTGATGCTTTCCAGCAACGGTATGAAAGAGGTAACCCTTAATAAGAGAAAGAAATACTTAGCAAATCTGAAAGCTTATAAAGGCAAAATTTATATTGCTTGCCTTCTTGGTAAAAGGCAGCTTAAAAAAAAAACAAAAAAAAACATGAATCTAATAGAACATGCTGGTTATTTGTGTAAGCACTTCATTAATATCCTGAGATTGAATATTCGTATGGCCCTATGAGGTCCATTATCCCCATTTGTAGATGTCAAAACTAGGTCCCTTGTCCAAGGTTAGCCAGTAAGCAAGCCAGATCTGAATCTAGAAACCTCAGATTTACCGCCTGCTTTTGTCAGGAACCCTCATGTCAGCAGCCAGACTGTGCTCAGCACTTAAAAAGGACACAGTGAGGAATGACTTCACTGTTTACTGAGCACCTGACTTCTGCAGCACGGCTCTGGAGGAGACACTGGAGGTGGAACAAGTGAGACCCACCCAGCCTGGAGGGGGGAGGATGGGCACACCAGCAATTACGAGGGTGATTGGCAGAGTCGAGTGCTCACCCAACCCTGTGGTCACGTGTGGGCCATTCTGACAACCAACCAATAGCTTCAATTCAGACACAAGCTTTTACCAGCAAGGACACACCACACCCAGGTCTTGGCCTGCTCTTCCCTTCAGACTAGAACTGTCTTCTATTTTTTTTGGCCATGCTGGCATGTGGGACCTTAGCTCTCAGATTGAACCCAGGGATTGAACCCAGGTCCCTAGTGTTGGAAGTGCAGAGTCTTATCCGCTGGACCCCTAGAGAAGTCCTGTCTTCTGTTTTTAACCCACTTCTCTCTCCCACCTGGTTGAAATGTCTAGCCCAGGCCCAGAGCCTCCCCAACCGCCTAGCTGACATAACTCTCTTATTTCTTGTCTAATGCTCACATTGATGTTTACTTCAGTTACCGGGTGGTACATGTCCACGTGGCATGATGTCTTACCACATGTTAAGTGTCGTGAGGGAAGGAACTGTGTCTTGTTTTGGAATCTTTGCCTTACACATAGGAAGTGTTTCAGTAAATGTGAGCTACATTAATATATAAAAGACTGGTCTGGGGACCTTCAAGTTACACATGGCTAAACAAGTTACTACTGATATAGGAAGGTGTCACATTTCACCAGAGCACAAAGGTGGCTAATCTGAACCAGGCCATCAGCAGACCTTCCCCTGGGGGCATTTTCCCACAAGGACCATGCTCCTCTGGACAAGGGAGAAATTTAGTCTCCATCCGGGACATTCTAAGATGACTTTCTTTTTTAAAAATTAATTAATTAATTAACTTGGCTGCACTGACTCTTAGTTTCAGCACATAGAATCTTCAATCTTTGGCATGCAGAATTTTTTTTGTTGTGGTGTGTGTGATCTAGTTCCCTGACCAGGGATTGGACCCAGGCCCCTGCATTGGGAGCACGGAATCTCAGCTGCTGGACCGCTAGGGAAGTCCCCTAAGATGACCTTTTGACATACAGACTTATATACAGTAAGGCTAGAGGTTCATTTCTGCTTCTTTACACTCTTCTGCAGCACTGCTTTTATAATCACACAGTTCCCAGAGACACTGGTCTTTGGGTTGGTGTCCAGGCGGCTGGCTCCCTACTTGAAACCTCTGATCAGCACTAGTAAGGTCTATAGTCCCCAAGAAATGGAGATACACCTGATTATGAATTTGTTTCCTTATTTTTAAAAAATTTCAAACTGTGTCCCCTCAGTGGGGGTTGGAGGGGAGGCTGCATACTCCAGCAGCCACTTCAGGGGTGGAAGGCTGGAGGCGGTGTTAGGTACCTCCCCCATCCTGCATCACACTGTAGTTCTGCTTGCAGTTACCTTGGAGAAGTCTCCTATAAGGTCCCGTGGGTCATTATCCAAAATGTTCTCAATGGTCCCTTTTGGGGAAGATGCTAGGGATAAAGACTGATGATGTAGAATCTGTAATAACCAAAGGTTGAGAATGAGACCAGGCTTCAGAATAAAGCCTTTTTCCTTTTTAAAAATGAAAGATTAAAATTAGTTTTAAGTCTATAAAAATTATTTCTCAGCTCTACTCACTGAGACACTGCAGGGGTGCAGTAGGTACCCCTTTGTCAATGTGTTCCCTAAACACTACAGTTGACCGCTGAACACAGAGGTCAGGGCCACCACTCCACATCTCACACATACCGTAACAGGTGTTGACTGAAGCCAGAGCTTTCTGACTGAATCCAGGCTGGGACAAGAAATGTCCAAGATAAACCTGGTCACCTTGTCATCAATAGCAAGGAAGCGCTCATATTTCAAAGAGCATGTCAAAAGGGCTAATCGTGGGGAAGTCAGGATATCTTAAACAGTACACAAAAACCACTAAACATAAAAAGACTGGTAAATTAAAACATGTTTTAAAGAAAGCAACAAATTCTGTTAATCAAAACAACAAGATGAGGTAAGAACCGGCAAGTCAGAGTGGGCAGATAAATAATTCATCTCAATAAAAGATTCATTTCTGAATATATAAAGCATTCTCACAAGTAAGAGATAACCCAAATAGGCTAGAAAGGTGGTTGGGTAATAGGAAAATCTAGAAAAATGACTATCAGAGAAATGCAAAATGAGATACTACACAGGCTTCCCTTTGATGGCTCAAGTGGTAAAGAATCTGCCTATAATACAGGAGACAAAGGAGACGTAGGTTCAATCCCTGGGTTAAGAAGATCCCTCGAAGGAGGAAATGGGAACCCACTCCAGTATTCTTGCCTGGAAAATCCAATGGGGCTGGTGGGTTACAGTCAAAGGGTCAAAGAGAGTCGGACACAACTTGAGCATGCACATGCCCATGCTACACATGCCCCAGAATGGGTAAAAGGGATGAACAACACCGGATACTGGTAAGGATGTGGAAGAACTGAACTCTCACACTGTTGTGAGTACAGCTGGCCCTTGGTATCCCTGAAACTGGTTTCAGGATGCCCAAGGATGCTTATATTAAATGGCACATAGTGCAGTTGGTGCTCAGTAGTGCTTAGTAGCCATGGGTTCCAAAGTTAGTTGAATCCATGGATGTGGAGACCCGATATAGAGGGTTGACTGGACAAACATTTTGGAATGTTATGTGGCAATGTCTACTAAAGCTAAACACATACCTAGCCTAGGACACAGAGAGCCCACAGGAAAAATGAAAGTGCATGTTCACAAGAGAAACAGCACAGATACCATCAACTAGAAACTAGAATGCTTGATGAAGAGAAGATAAGTCTTTTCAGTAAATGGTGCCAGGCGAATGCAATATTCACATGTGAAAGAATGAAACTAGGCCCCCCATCTTACTTTATTCACAATAAATAACTCAAGATGGAGTAAAGATTTAAATTTGAGACAGGAAAACTGTTAAACTCCTAGAAGAAAACACAGGAAAAAAGTTCCTTGATGTGGGTCTTAGGCAATGATTTTTTTGGATCTGATACCTAAGGTACATCCTAAAGTACAGCTTCTACGTATTAAAAGAAATGATCAACAAAATGAAAAGACAACTTACAGAACTGGAAAAAATATCTGCAAACCACATTATCTGATAAGAGGTTAATATCCAAAATGTAAGGAATCCATACAACTTAATAACCACCCCCCAAAAAACCAAAAAACCTCCCAAATAATCCAGTTTTAAGAACAGAAAAGGACCCGAATAGACATTTTCCCAAAGGTACACAAGTGGCCAACAGGTACATGAAAAGACGATCAATATCCAGACTACAATGAGATATCACCTCATGTCTATAAGAAAGACTATCATCCACCATGGAATATTACTCAGCCATTAAAAAGAATTCATTTGAATCAGTTCTAATGAGATGGATGAAACTGGAGCCCATTATATAGAGTGAAGTAAGCCAGAAAGATAAAGACCAATACAGTATACTAACACATATATATGGAATTTAGAAAGATGGTAACGATAACCCTATATGCAAAACAGAAAAAGAGACACAGATGTATAGAACAGGCTTTTGGACTCTGTGGGAGAAGGTGAGGGTGGGATGTTTCAAGAGAACAGCATCGAAACATGTGTATTATCTAGGGTGAAACAGATCACCAGCCCAGGTTGGATGCATAAGACAAGTGCTCGGACCTGGTGCACTGGAAAGAGCCAAAGGGATCGGGTCGAGAGGGAGGTGGGAGGGGGGACTGGGATGGGGAATACATGTAAATCCATGGCTAATTCATGTCAATGTATGACAAAAACCACTACAATATTGTAAAGTAATTAGCCTCCAACTAATAAAAATAAATGAAAAAAAAAATAATAATAAAAAAAGAAAGACTACCATCAAAAAGGCAAAATGGGGCTTCTCTGGTGGCTCAGTGGTAAGAATCCGCCTGTCAATGCAGGCAACATGGGTGCGATCCCCAATCCGGGAAGATCTCACGTGCCTTGGCGCAACTAAGTCTGTGTGCCACAACTACTGAGCCTGTGCTCTAGAGCCCGGAAGCTGCAACTACTGAGCCTGAAGGAGGAAACAGCCTTGAAAGCAGGACTCCATCTTGGGCTGGACTGTGCACTTTGAGCTCTATGCCCAGTATCTATGGAAACGACACACCAACTGGAAAAGCCAGGCCCCCAGAAGGAAGAGTGCCAGGGTGCTCCATCACCTAAAAGAACACCCTAATAGTCTGTGTGACCAAATAGAATCATACATTCTATTATGTTTACTGGGGAACGACCACAAGCCTATTGTTAATTGTCCACTGTTAACTACCTAGGTTTAAGGCATACACGGGTTGACTTTGATTGTTATCTTTCTTTTTCCTTTGTTCAGACTAGTTTCAGGGAATTTGGGGAGGTGGGTTTGGGTACGTATGCTTAGGGTATATAAGGTTTTCACAAAAATTGGTTGGGGCCCTTGGCTAAGAGGAGACTCTGCCTTGGGCCCGCCAGTGTAATAAACTGCACTCCACTATCTGCACTGTCCTTCTGAGTGGGTTTGTTTCCCGGAACGTGTGGCTACAACAAGCCCACATGCTGCACCTATTGAAGCCCGAGTGCCCTAGAGCCTGTTCTCTGCAACAAGAGAAGCCACCGTGAAGTGGTGTCCACGCACAACTGTAGAATAGCCCCTGCTCACCGCAACTAGAAAAGTCTAAGCAGCAACGAAGACTTAGCACAGCCAAACAAGAAAAAAAAATCAGATTATAAAATGAATCACTTAAAAAAAAAGAAAAAAAAAAAAAAAAGACAAGAGCAATTCCCTGGTGGTCCAATTAGGACTCCACACTTTTACTGCCTAGGGCCTGAGTTCAATCCCTGGCAAGGAAACTAAGATCCCCTAAGCGCATGGAGTGGCCAAAAAAAACACAAAAGACAAGAAGTAAGTGTTGATAAGGATGTGAAGACAAGGGAACACTTGTACAGTACTTGTGGGGCTATAAAGTTTGGGATGGCTTCAATGGAAAACAGTATGGACGTTCCTTAAAAAGTCGAAAACAGAACATATGATCTAGCAACACCACTTCTGGTAACATATTTGAAGGAAACGAAAACACTATGTCAAGAGAGATCTGCACTCACTTTACAGCAGCATTATTTATAATAGCCACGACACGGAAAAAAGTGTTCACTAACAGATGAATGGATGAGGAAGCTGGGATACACATACACACAATGGATTATTATTCAGCCATACAAAAAGAAGGAAATCCTGCTATTTGCAGCAACATGGATGGACCTTGACGGCATTATACTGAGTGAAATTGAAGTCAGACAGAGAAAGACAAACAAGTATATGACATCGCGTGTAAGGGGAATGAAAAAACTGAAAACACCTAATGCTAACCACTAACACAACCACCAGAACAAAATCAAACTCGTAGAAAAAAGGGGGTCAGATTTGTGGGGTGACCAGAGGTAAGCAATGGAGGAGGGGGGCCGGATGAAGGTGGTCAAAATGTACAACTTCCAGTTATGAGACAAGTACCAGAGATGTAATATACAACATGATGACTATAGTTAGGTCGGATGTATAGTGTATATGAAAGTAGTTGAGAATAAATCCTGAGTTCTCATCACAGAGAAATAAGAACTAAAATACTAAGTGACAACAAAAAACACTATAATCAAAGTTGTGAGACAAACCTAAAGTAGTCCTAAATAGGTCAGGACACAAGAAAAAAGAAAAAAAAAACAAAAAACAAAACATAAAAACCAACCAAGGGAAACAAGTTATGGCCCTAGTCCAGGACCCAACAGCAAGTGGGGAGCTTAGACTTCCACCCTGGCCCAGCTGTAATTAAGTGTCCCAATCGACCTCACTGGGATGGTGTTGGCGGAGGCCTAGAAGGGAGCTTGAACTTCCGACCCCTGCCCAGCAGCCACGAGGCCTGGCCTACCTAAGTGGCACATCAAGGGCGGCTGGACTTCTGCCCCCTCCCCTGCAGTATCGGAGCACTACTAAGACAGCACTTACATAGCCTCATAATATCCCAAGTACACAGATACAAATCTCTTGTCGTATCAAGAACCAGGAAAACTCTCAACCTGGATAGGAAAAGACAATCAACAGAAAGCCACACCAGACGCAGATGCAGATGCAGGGACCACCTGACAAGGATTTTAAAGTAGCCATCATAAAAATGCTTCAACAGGCAATTCTGAACAGGACTGAAACAAATGAAAAATAAAAACAGTCTCAGCAAAGAAAAAGAACCAAACATGCATTTTAGAACTGAAAGATACAATATCCTTGAGCGAAAAAGAAGCTGCAGAACTAACCTCCTGGGGCTTCTCTGGACTAGCTGCCTCTTCCGGACTGGCCCCAGCCACGCTTTTCCTCCGCTTCCTGTTTCCACCTGGGGACTCCTCTAGTGATCGGTCTGGTCTTTTCAACATTGACCGGATGGTAGAGCTACTCGACGCGGAAGGGGAGTCAAACAGCTTGCAGCGATTGCCCTTTGGGGAAAAAAAAAGAGATCCATGTTTCATTAAAATACACTCATTTGAATGGTAAAGAGGACAGACCAAGGACTTCCTGCAATGGTTTAAGATCAAGCCATTCTAAATTGGGCTTCCCAGGTGGTGCTAGTGGTAAAGAACCTGTCTGCCAATGCAGGAGACAAAAGAAACTTGGGTTCAATCTCTGGGTCAGGAAGATCCTCTGGAGGAGAGCATGGCAACACACTCCATTTAGTATTCTTGCCTGGAGAATCCCATGGACAGCGGAGCCTGGTGGCCTACAGTCTATAGGGTTGCAGAGTTGGACACGACCGAAGGGACTTAGCACACATCCTAAATTAGGAAACAGACACTGTCCATTTATCTAGTCCTTGGCACCCAGCAGACACTGAGACTCTAGTGTTCACTGAACATGTTCAAAACCTGACACTGGATACAAATAAGTAAGACTACCCATGCCCTGAAAAGCCTATATTCTGCACAGGGTCCTAAGAGTCAAAAGGTTACCTTCCAGCCAGGGCCACACGTCTGCCTTCCTCTTCCCCTCTACTTTACTACTTGCAACTTGCTCGAGCAGCTCGAAGAGGTTTTAACAGCCCCCCTAAATCCAGAAAGGCATGAGGCAGCTGGATTATACTATATTAGAGCCAGTTAAGGGGATAAAATAGAGTTGAGTTTGAGTGTGCAGTGGGCAGGGGTGCCTTCAAAACTGTTTAGAAGTCATTCTCTCTGCTTGGCTGTTTTTCTTTCTGGACTGTACCAGAGCATCTTAAATTTAAGACTTACAAAGCCAAAGGAAATATAGCAAGATGTGCTATAGTACTCCTTGTTCTAAGGACTAATTTCTCGGGGTTTGAGAGCAGCCAGCCTGATTAGTGGTAGAGACAGTCTGAGTTCAGCAATCTAAACTAATCTCAGCCCGTTCACAGCTCAGTGTCCTTTCACACACCCCCCGCACCCCCTCTCCCCAATAAAGCACTCCTTTTCAAGCTGGTAAATTTCAAAGCTGCCTCTTCTTTTGAAATGTTCCTAATAGTTCGCAGCAAGTGTCACCCCCACATTGCCTCTCTCAGAGACCAAGGGTTTTCTGCTTATTTTTCTGAAGTTCATTTTAAAAGGATGTTGTTCAGAAAAGCAAGATCACAGGTTTTGTTTGTTTGTTTTTAACCTAGAAGAGCTGGAAGCATTTTTGGAAGGAGGGTCTACTGCTTTCAGTAAGGTCTCAGAGGATTTGTAAGCTCTTCAAGGGCAGAAACCCCAGTTCCAACTCAGCCCCTGGTCATTATGAGTCTACAATGTTTCTGAAAGAAACTCTGCCGTTGTGAAGGGCCTACACATACTGTTTCATGGTTTTTACATCCAACTTATAAAACTGATAGCCATTTTCCAAGCATTCTCACACTGTATATGTTAATAATGTTATCTTTCAAAAGGACCTAGTAAATTTGGTCATATCATTTTTACTGGGGTGGCGTAATCTCTCAAAGCTTTCCACATTAATCTACTATAATGTGTGAGTGGCTTCAAGACTGGAATAGTTCATTTGTTCCATATTTATAACTCAGGGGCATGATTAAAGATGTACTCAGCGTCTATACATGTAAGGGTGTGTAACTGCTTGTGTGCTATGGTAAGAACTCACTTTCCCTGGATGTTTGCACATATGAGGACGTGTCCCTCTACATGCACAACCTTTGAAAGTGTCCCTGATGGAAACAGACGTCTACAGTCTACACAGTAGGTGGGTATTAAAACAAAACAAAAACTCTTGAAAAAACAGCATACATTAACACCAGGAAACACTAGTGACCAGCCAAGGGACAGGCCCATAGGCTCAAACGCAGAATCTCAAAAGAAACCATCTGGATTCCTGTGGCTCCCTCCAGACACACTGGAACTTACTAGGTTCGTAGTTCTTCTCATGACAAGGGGAGCTGTCCAGAGGCTGGCCATGCAGGACGGTGTCTCTTCATCATTCTAAACAAAGAAAAACTGTGTCATAAAGGTCCAAAGGTCCAGTAGAAACAATATTAGTTTAAATGCATTAGATTTCTTCTTGCAGAATACCAGAAAGGCATGAATAGGAAGTCTTCTAAGGGTCAATGCCGCCCCTCTCCACAATGTTTTAAGGTCGAGAGAGTAAGAGTGATGCTATCTGAGCATAGCTAAGGGAATGCCCGAGGGGCCATGAGGAGGCACTGGTCTCCTCAGCTTTATATCATGTGGCCGCCATTCTTCCAGGTTCTTCCAGAAAAAACAACAACAACAATGACTGTCAGCTCCTGCAGGGGAAGAAGGATCACAACGGTGTTTTCTTTGGAACACTTCCATAGAATTTAATCAGGCCAGGAGCAGAGTCTCAATAAATTCCCAAGAGATGAATAAAAGCATCAGCCAGGGCTTCCCTGGTGATCCAGTGGTTAAGAATCCTCCTTGCAATGCAAGGGACCCGGGTTCAACCCCTGGCCCGAGAAGATTCCACATGCTGTGGAGCAGTTGAGCCTGTGGACCACAGCTACAGAGCCCGTGCTCTGGAGCCCACGAGCTGCAACTACTGAAGTCCACGCGCCTAGAGCCCGTGCTCCACAGCGAGAAGCCCCCGCAGTGAGAAGCCCCGGCACCGCAACAGAAGAGTAGTCCCAGCTCGCCACAACTAGAGAAAGCCCACGTGCAGCAACGGAGAACAAATACAGCCAAAAAATGAATCAAATAAGTAAATAAAATCTTAAAATTTAAGTATCAGCCAGTTGGGGGATTACTGTTCTTTTTCAGATGACGGCTTTCCAGGGGAAGTTAGTAAAAATGGATGGGAAAACACACACCCCCCCCCATACCTTCAAATTGTCTCCATCAAGAAGATCCATGAAGCCATCATCCTCATCAGACAAAGTGGGAGTCACAGGTGACTGGGGCATAAAAGGAATGGAATTCCCTGGTTCGCTGCCATCTCTTTCATTTGAGGAAAGCTACAAGACAGAATTCATGGCTTGTTAATAATCAGCTTTGATTTCCCTGAATGGGTTACTAGTTTTTATGAGGAAAATATACCATATTCGTTTTAGCAGCTACAAATCAAAGGAAAAATAAGACCTAAGATTATAAATGAACTAATGTCCACACACAGCTCTGAGTCAAGTCAGGCAAAGTAGCCTTCACAAAGAAGACTCCCTAGGAGCAATTCACCTCACAGTGCGATATGAGGCTAGCCTCCGATGAAGGGCAAGGCTTGTTTTTTCTGAGGATTATTATTGGTGAACAGAGATCAGCATGAGGGTAGTGACAGGTGACAATCTGCTAAAATGAGGAAGGGTGAGAAGATACCAAGTCCCTATGGAGACCACAAAACGGACTAGAGAAATGTTTCTGTAACTCCAGTTCTGACAGAGGGATATAAAGTCTAGAAAGTTCTAGAAAACCCATCCTTGTTCTTTATAGACTCACAATTTAAATGACAGCTGCTCAGTTTTAATTGAGGAATTACTTGGCCAGACACTGGGTGTGCTGCTGTGTGCTCAGTTGCTAAGTTGTGTCCGACTCTTGCAACCCCATAGACTGTAGCCCGCCAGGCTCCTCTGTCCATGGGATTCTCCAGGTAAGAATACTGGAGTGGGTTGCCATTTCCTTCTCCAGGGGATCTTCCCGACCCAGGAATCGAACCCAGGTCTCCTGCATTGCAGGCAGACTCTTTACTGACTGAGCAATGAGGGAAGCCCTGTTTTCAGACTGGGATATAACCTTTTATGTATAGTCCCATTTAAGCCTCACAACATACTAAGGGTAGTTAATCCTCTATTTTCCATTTTTATTTAACAAATCAGGAAACCGATGCTTAAGAGAGGTTACCAAGATCACACCGCTCACTTGTTTGACTGCAAAATCCAAGCTTTTCTGCCCATTATACTCTCCCTAGGAGAGACCATTCCTGGAGTCAAAATAGAGTATATCTCATTAGGCAATCCTATCTTGTTGTTTTCAGTAAAACTCCCATTATAAAATGATTTACAGAGCTTCCCTGGTATTCCAGTGGTAAAGAATTCACCTACCAATGCAGGAGACACAGGTTCAATCCCTGATCTGGGAAGATCCCACATGCCTGGGAGCGACTAATCCACAACTATTGAGCCTGTGCTTTAGAGCCTGGGAACTGCTGAGCCCACATGCCACAACAACTGAAGCCCAGGTGACCGACAGACACGATCTCTGTCCACAAGAAGAGAAGCCACCGCAATGACAAGCCCCCACACTGCCATAACAGCCGCAGCTGTCCAAAACTAGAGAAAAGCCTGAGTAGCAGCAAATACCCAGCACAGTAAAAAATAAATACATAAATTATAAAAACCTTAAAAAAAATTCAATATAGAAAATTTACAAAACCCACTCAAAAATCTACCATCTACAGACAAACACTGTTAATAATGAATTCTTTTCTAGGTACTTTTCAAAGATAGTAAAAAAGTCCAGAGATAGATTTTCTTTCTCTCCCATAATAGTAAATCTCTTTGGGGTGGGATATGAATGCATTAATCCTCAAGTGACCTTCAAGTTTACTGAGCAGCCTCTTTACTAGCTGAACCCGAACCTCAGGCCCTAAGCCAGACTGGAAAGGTGTATTTAAGGATACAAGTTCCTGGGAAAACGTGGAAACCGAACATGGTCATTTTGCTCAAGTTGGGCCTCTCTAGTCCACAGCTGTCTGTCCGTCAGATCACCAGTAGGAAATCTGGAAGAAATGACCATCTCTGACAAACAAACAATCCTGGGACAAGTGGCCCCAAATACCGTAAAATAGCCTTGTAGGCAATGGGTTCACTGGAATACCTAATAGTTCTTAATAAACCAAGTTTGGTAGGAATCACATGCTCGCTCCAAACAAAATCACTCTGGGAAGTACCTCTCAGCACTCAGAAAGCAAGTTTTCAGTAGGACGGATAATCCCACCATCCACACATTCAGAAGAATGACCCAGGACTGACAAGGTCAAATATGCCCTCCTCGAGTCCAGTATTTCAAACACACCACCTCCTCTCACCCTGCTTCTGCCTGTCTGCTCTCCAGACACAGCAGAAACACCGAGTGTGTGAGTCTCAAAACATGTGAGTTTCAAAAGACAAAGTCAAGGTAAAGACAGCTAGAGCTGCTGCAGGGTCTTTAACTCCAGATTGCGGAGGCTTTCATCTTCCCATCAGGAACTCCCAGGAGTATGAAAGCACATACCATCCGAGCTGGGGCGGAGTTCTGCCTCTGTGTGAAGAGATCTTTACCCTCCTCCAGTCCGTGAACATGTAGGCAGCCTCGAGACGCAGGTCTTATTGGCTTCTTAAACTCAAAGACTTCCTGCAAGACAGTATAGATGAGACATCATCCATTGTCTGTGAAAACCAGCTCTAGGGTCTCAGCTACAGGTCTGGAAGGCAGGCAAGAGAGTGGGTACTGATCACCTATCTCCAAACCTATGTCTCATCTAATTCACTGGATCTGTGTAACTTAAGAATTTCAGGACTTCTTTGGTGTTGCAGTGGATAAGAATCCAGCCTGCCAATGCAGGGGACATAGGTCCTCTGGTCCGGGAAGATCCCACATACCACGGAGCAACAAAGTTGTGCCGTGCGGCATGTCTACTGAGCCTGCACTCTACAGCTCACGAGCTGCAGCTACTGAAGCCCATGAGCCTAGAGCCTGTGCTCCGCAACAAGAGAAGCCCACAACTACTGCAACTAGAAAGCCTGCATGCGGCAACGAAGACCCAGCAGAAAAAATAAAATTAATTAAAAAAAAACAAACCAGGTATTTTAAAGATTCTGTCAAAAGCTAACTTCTCCAATTCAAGTACTAACCAGGTCTGACCTTGCTTAGCTTCTGAGATCAGATGAGATCGAGTGCATTAAGGGTGGGATGGCCACAGACAAAAGCTAACTTCTAATAATAGAACTTTTTTCTCTTATCACAAACACTTTATTTCCTAACAAACACATGAGTATTTGCCAGGTACACAAGGCAGAGTTAAAAACTAAATCAACAACAACAACCAAAAAAAAAAAAAAAAAAATCAACAACAACAAACTAAATCAACAGCTTGCTATCAATTATATTTCAATTAAAAAAAATTTTTTCTGAAGTCTAAAGCAATTTCATTTCAATATAATTGAACAGGAGTTGAAACTTTTCAGTCTAGACTTGTACTTGAGGACTTTATATTTTCCATCTTCTTCCTACCAATAGGAGACAATTAAGTGGAAAACATTTAATGTTATTGTTTTCCATAATAAAAGCAATGAAGAAAAAAACTAATGGCAACAGAACTGTAGCTAACACTGCTGTACAGTAAGTTTAAGAGAGTCAATTCTAAGAGTTCTCATCACAAGGAGACAATTTCCTCTTTTTCCTTTTTCTTCTATTGTATCTATCAATATATGAGAAGATGGATGTTAGCTAAACCTACTGTAATCATTTCATGATATATGTAAATCAAACCATCATGCTGTATGCCTTAAATTTATAGTGATATATGTCAATTATTTCTCAATAAAACTGGGAAAAAAGACCCTTTTAGTTTATTCAATAACATGGATGAATCTCACATAATGATGAGTAAAAGCCAAAAGTGATAGAACACATACTGTATGATTTCATTTTACTTAAAAGTTTAGAAACACTCATAATTCCCCTTCCCTAAAATATCCACTTAAGAACTCGTCAAGCACAGCTAATATCAGAGTATTTACTTGCCCACACAGCACTAAGTATGAGCTCAGTGCACGAGCTCATTTATCCATCCAATCATCCCCATTTTACAGATGAGGCAACTAGGCCTGTAGGTTAAGTGATGTGCCTAAGGTCTGGCTTCCCAGACGGGACAACTCCAGAGCAAGAGCTCTTTAGCCTACACTGTTTCCATAAGCTAGCAACCCCGGGAGAAGCCAAGCTGGGGGTAAGGGGATGGGGAATGTGGGAAAGAGACCAGGCGACAGTGTAATAATAGCTTTGGATTGTTTGGTTAAAGACACTACACAGAGGCAGACATAGCGTCCCAAGCACTGAAGACAGGAACTCAACTGTTCTTTCTTTACCTTCCTTAGGACATCCTGCTGCCAAAGGAATCATTACAAAAGTTCACGGAGGCAGCAGGTTCCGTGAGTAATAAGTCCAGGAGATTCTAAGTATGTGTTGTAACACTGTAGTGGAGGATGAAGAAGGGGAGTAAACAGACACGGAAAGCTGAGCTGACTCACTGAACTCTGCCCTGTTGCACAGCGCCCCGGCAGGTTTGAGAGAACCCAGGCCAGGGTGTTCTTGGGCTTTTGGCTGCATAATTGCAACTCACCCTCTAAGCTACCGTTTCAGTTACCGAGATTCCCTGGGATTTGTTGGCTTTGTTCTTGAAAACACTGTCAAGAAGCCTTTTCCTAAACTTTTCACTCATCCCACGGTGAGCACAAAGAGGCAAGGAAGGCCTGCCCAGACCCTTCCACATAAAGTGTTCTTGGATGTAATTCCCCCTAAAAGCCACCTTTTGAGCAACTCCTACCTGCCAGGAACTATTTTAAATGCTTTATCTACATTATCTCACTTAATTCCAACAATAGTCCTACAAGGGAATGCTACTCCTATTTCTCAAAGAAACATAGAAGCCTAAAAAAACAGCTAAGGTCACAGCTAGCAAGCAGTAGGATTCCAATCCAGATTTCTCTGACTCCAAAAACCATCATGACTTAAATAAAGGTTTAGTCTCCCAGGAGATAGCCCTGCTACTTCTCCATAAGCCACTTGTGGGTGTGAGCTCTGCCCTAGGTGAGTAGGTTAAAGCTACACTCACATTTTCCTTGTTCTCATCCTGGTCAATCAGCTGAAAGACATCATGGTCAAGAGAATCAGAATGGCTCCTCTTCAGAGCTGGGCTACAACCCAAGAGCTTCTGCTGTCAAAGTGAAAAAAGGAATTAGGGTACATCAATGAAAATGGAATGTAAACACAGTTGTAAAAGGAAAAAAAAAAAAAGTGGTGGTAGGTTAGGGAGGCCTAGCTCCTGACAGTGCAGTGGGTAACCAGTTAACGTGACTAGGACTCTATGGCTTTACACCTAACTTCACAAGGTCTACAGCCCTCTCCGCAAGGACTCAGGTACCAAACCAACCCCCAAATAACATCATTTACATAAAAAGAACCCCCTTCCTGGTTGGATAAAACGCTGGTAGTTAAAGATGGAGGAAAAAGCCCTCAAGAGGCAACCATTATTGAAGCTGCTTTAGGTAGAATGTTTTTAATACTTATGAGACAAAGTAAGGAAAAGCAGTCTGTCTAAATTAAGGTTTATGATCAAGGTTACACTGGTAGCTAAGGGGCAGATAATAGTTATTAGCTCAAAAGAAACAAGGGAACTAACTTACAGGTAGGGAATTTATTCTCCTCGTGGGATTTTCAAGGCTGCAATGAGACCAGAAAGTAAATCATGAGAATCAAGCGAGGAAAGTGGTATTCGTATCAGTAGATGCATAGTGTCTAAACTACCGTTTGATGGGGTGAGGGGAGCATCAAACATATTCCTGTTTTAGGCAAGACAGAATAATAGATTTCTAAAGCTCTTCTGTTTTCACAAGCAGCCCCATAACTGGGCTTCTAGTGAAAAAAGCCTGGATCTTCTCTTAAAATATACACCTTCTAGGGAGTTCCCTGGTTTTCTAGGGGTTGGTATTCCAGGCTTTTACTGCCATGAGTTGGGTTCAATCCCTGGTTGGGGAACTGAGATCCTTACAAGTGAGGCAAAACAAAATAAAAAACAAACCAAAGTTCTCTTAGGACAATGAGACAGAGCAAGGGTTTGAGTGACATTAGAACAGAACCCCAAAATTACAGCTAAAATAAAGGAAGGGAAGTTCTGAAAAACTGCTGACACAAACTACTCATCTCAAAAGATATCAGACTTTATAGGATCCAGGAGTCTTAATCAGGATCACTAAATCCAGAGCTTCAGTACATAGCATGAAGAATTTCATTCGAAAAATTATTTTTCTAAGCACAAACATTTAAAGGCAGTGAATACATACTTTTCTTTACTATCCAAGGGCCCAGGAGAATCCAGACAGAAGCCTGTGTGTGGGGAAAAAAAAACAAAACACCTCAGACGTTACTGTTTTGGGCTCCAAAATCACTGCAGATGGTGACTGCAGCCATGAAATGAAAAGATGCTTACTCCTTGGAAGAAAAGTTACGACCAACCTAGACAGCATATTAAAAAGCAGAGACATTACTTTGCCAACAAAGGTCCATCTAGTTAAAGCTATGGTTTTTCTAGTAGTCACATGTGGATGTAAGAATTGGACTATAAAGAAAGCTGAGCGCAAAAGAATTGATGCTTTTGATTTGCGGTGTTGGAGAACTCTTGAGAGTTCCTTGAACTGCAGGGAAATCCAACCAGTCCAACCTAAAGGAAATCAGTCCTGAATATTCACTGGAAGGACTGATGCTGAAGCTGAAACTCCAATACTTTGGCCACCTGATGTGAAGAACTGAGTCATTGGAAAAGACCCTGATGCTGGGAAGGACTGAGGGCAGGAGGAGAAGGGGACGACAGAGGATGAGATGGTTGGATGGCATCACCGACTCAATAGATAGGAGTTTGAGTAAACTCCCAGAGTTGGTGATGGACAGGGAGGCCTGGCCTGCTCCAGTCCATGGAGTCGCAAAGAGTTGGACATGACTGAGTGATTAAACTGTAACACCACTTATTCATTAAAATAAGTACATAAACCTACTAGTACTATTTAAGGCAGTCAACAAAGGTTCATGGCTCGGACTTTTGCCAGAATTGAAGCTGAATCCCCATGATTGCCAAAATGTCATATTTGCACAAGTCTCAACATTTTCATAGTATATCTACTCATGTGTTCCTCCTTGCAAACACCATCATGGATAATAGGATATGAGGAGACAGAATTAAACCAAACCTCATGACTTATTTACAAAACAGAAGCAGACTCACAGACTAGAAAATAAACTTACAGTTATCAAAGAGGACAGTGCGGGGAATACTACTACTATATATAAAATAGATAAACAACAAGGGTCTACTACATAGCACAGGGAACTATATTCGATATCTTGGAATAACCTACAATAAAAAAGAATTATATATGTATAACTAAATTACTTTGCTGTACACCAGAATCTAACACAACACTGTAAATCAACTACACTTCAAAAAAAAAAGGTCTTAAATCATGATTAATTCAGTTAGAGGTTATCCAGGCTAACTTTCTGTGAGTTCCAACCATGGAAAGGACAATTATTTGTTTTCTGGAATAGTTTTTTATTTCAAATATCTTATATCCTGTCAGGTCATGTACATAATAATTCAGGGGGTTGGAAAATATTATGTCCTTTGACAAGCAAGCAAGTATTTATTGCCTTCAACAAGATACCACCAAGTGAGGTGCTCAACTCAAAGGCAACAGAATAAAGGAGATGCTGCTTAGCGTGGCCCAGAGCCATCAGGGCCTGCCTAGCACACACCTTTGCTCCACCATGTCTAAATAATCATACAGGAAGTTAGGTGGTACTGCTTCTGGCACGACTCTCTTCTTTGCCACACTGCCACAAATGACAATCCTATCCCTGGTTCTTAAGAAGCTTACATTTTAAGACTTTTGCTCTTGCAGTTCTTTACCCTAAAGCATCTGTGCAAATAAACCTCGCCCCAACATGAACTTTGTTGTTGTTTAGTATCTGATTCTTTTGCTACAGCCATGTCTGATTCTACAGCCCACCAGGGTCCTTTATCCATGGGATTTTCCAGGCAAGAATATTGGAATGGATTGCCATTTTCTTCTCCAGGGGAATCTTCCCAATCCAGGGATCGAACCCACATCTCTTGGGCTAGCAGGTGAATTAACACTGAGCCACCAGGGAAGCTAACATGAACTTATGGTTAGAATAAGATGCACTGGCAGTTTCTCCAGAGCAGGCTCAATGAAATAATTTCATTATACTTCCAATAACTTGACGCAGAATTTTAACCAATAAGATTTCCCGAATGCCACTTCAAGAGTGGTATGGTTAATTTCATACTACTACTCATCTTTAAGACCAAGCATAAACCACCTCTTGAGTTTCCTCTCTTCATATACTGCCACAGGGGCTCCTTTGTACTGTTCTAACAGGTGTCTGTCACTCAATGCCAGACTTCTGTTCACTACCTCAACTCACCAGAGTTTCTAGGTGAAACAAGCACTGATCCCCATAAGGCAGACACATGATAAAAGACTAAAAGGATACCTGAATCAGTTGATTCGGAGGAGCCCATTCTCTGCAGACTGCTGTTTTTCACCTCCATGGGTTGTTCATACTCACTGAAACCAAGAAAAGTAACTCATAGGAGACAGTCCATGACATGGCACATTGCCATACTGCCATAAACCATCATTACTTCTAGGCCACACCACAAAACACTTGGCCACCCAGAACACACAGTTAGCACTTAGGTATAAAAGGAGATGAGAAAAGAGTAGGTTGGCATTGGTCACACTGTAGATAGGAGGAGGACAATGACTATTGGACTATTTCCTGAAATGAAAGCATGTGTTCTAGGTACTGAGCTAGGAGCGGGGATGAACAGGACAAGTTCCTGCTTTTCAGAGATTGGAAAAGACATGTGCTTCTTTAGAAAATGGAACGTCCAAGACTGATGAGAAAGCAGCTTTACAAAAACAAAACAAAACAAGACAAAACCCAAACGGTGGGATGCATTTTTTAAAATAAGGAACAGTGCAGGGAAATTTTAGGAGTGGAAAGCTGAGTTAAAAGACCTGGTCTTAGAAAAGCATGGGGCTGGGTGGCGGGGAGTGGGGGGCGGGAAACAGCAGGGATATGCTCGGGGCGAAGGATTGCGACGATTTTTGCAAACTCAAGGAAAGAAAATGCCACGTCCCTTGGCTGAGAAGGAAACAGAGCTCACAGAAAACTAAAGTAACTACGAGGTGGTTCTGCAAATGATAGAAGTGAGCGACTAGGAGGGCCTGTTTTTCCCCGTGGAGGCAGATTTCAAACAGCTTCGTGGGGTAGGGACAGAAGAGCACAGGGCAATCTAAGAAGGGGTGGCGAAGGTGGGGGGCCCGGGCGTACCCGGAGGGTCCGAACGGCCTCTCCCGCCCAACATTCGGCCTGGGGGGAGGGTGCACATGGCGGGCCCCCGTCGGTGGGGCCGCCCCCGAGCGGCAGAGAGGCAAGCGCTACCCTCGCGGCCGGTTTTCTGGCCTGATCTACCCGAGAGCCGTCTGGGAGGCCAAACGCTTGAGGCACCGCTCCTCGGTCCCTCCTCACCTGCCCAGTCCCTGCAGCTGGTCCATGGTGACCGTCAGGTTGGTGACAGGCGACAGGCCCCCGGCGGCTGGCGTGCCGAACAGCGCCTTCACGACGGGCTGCGGTGCGGACGGGGGGCTGCAGGCGAAGAGCAGGCGGCGGCGGTGCGGGGGCTCCGGGCCCAGTTCCATGGCGGCGCCGGGCCTCCTAGGGATCCCGCTCCCTCTTCCTCCGCCTCCGCCGGGCCCGCCGCACCCCGCTGGCACTGGCCTCGGCCGCGCGCCCCGCAGCCGGCGCCCGCGGATCAAACACAAACACGACCCCGCGGTTCAGCGATGCGGCTGCCGCGGGCAAGAGGCGCGGACGGGCGAGTGTCCAGACTCGGTAGGCGCCAGCCACAGGCGCGGGTGCGTCCCCTCACTCCGCGAGGCTGGCGGGCGGGGGGAGCCGGCAACCTGAAGATTAAATCCAAACAAACGGGGCGCGTCGGGGAGGGAGAGCGGCTAGAGTGCGAAGCAACGACGCGGGCTCACACTCTCTTCACTTTTCTTTCACTCTCTCGCCCGGGAGTGCAGACAACCAGGCCGACATTCACCTCCCTCCCGGGCCGTCGCTGCCAAGGTGGCCTTTCGCGGTAATAGCTGCTCACAGCGGCCAGCCGCTCCCCCGCCCCCCCTTTCCTAGTTGGCGCCAAACAGAATCCACCAATCAGTAATCAACTTCTCCTCCTCGCACAGGAATGGCAGCTAGGCTGGACCAATGAGAGGGGAAGAAGGAAGCAGCTCTCGGGACGCTGCGAGGTCAGCCCCCTCTCAGAAAGGGGCGGGGCCTAGAGGGGCCCTCCGAACCCGAGGAGCTCAGAGGTCAATGAAAACTCCCAGCTGAACCTGCGAGATGCCGGGAGAGACCGGAAGGCACCTCTTGACGCGTTGCATGGTGGGAAGCGTAGTTCCCACAGTGCGCCGGAGTGTAGTCGGCTCTTACCGCGTTAGGCCAAAGCCCTATCGGCGTCTGTTCTGTGTTCCACACGGTGAGGAAATGTGGAGGGTAGAGAAAGCTGTTCGGTCCCCTCTTCCGCTCTGGGCCCCCAGGCCCCAGTTTTAGCATGAGAGAGAACTGATGACCCAAGGACTGGGCCCTGCCTCACGAACACAGGGCCCAACTCTGGAGCAATAAGGCTCCTGTCCAGCCGGCTGTCCTGTCCTTGAGCTGCTGATTACAAGACTTAACCCTACGGCCTGCGTTGTGGGCCTCGGCATTGTTTGCTCACCTCTATTTTAGCTTTGGTATATTTTCTCAGAACCAGTTCCTTCTCTCGCACCCTTGCTGGCTTCATTCGGAGTGCCTAGATAAGCAACACCTGGTGGTTCAGTGGTAAAGAATCTGCTTGCCTATGCTGGAGCCTCGGGTTCTATCTCTGGGTCCAGAAGATCCCCTGGAGAAGGAAATGGCAACCCATTCCCCTATTCTTGCCTGGCAGGAGGAGGCAGAGGAGCCTGGCGGGCTACAGTCCATGGGGTCGCAAAGAGTCAGATACAAATGAGTGACTAATACTTCACTTTGTGTCTAAACAGCAACAAATATAATAATAGTAAACACTTATGTAGTGCTTATGTCCCACTGTTACAAGGCCCTTATCTATTCATTCGTTTAATTCTTACAACAATTCTATGAGAGAGAAATTATCCCCACTTTCTAGGTGACCAGATTTGTTGTAATATCCCTTGCACCAATGACGATTCCTAGAATGAATGATTTTATGAGAGGCAGAGGTACAGCTGTCAGTCTCGAAAAGGACTTGTCTTTAGGTAGCTTATTTAGAGCAAATACGCTGCTTATTTAGCTTGGGTATTTAAATATTTTGGGTGTTTGGTTAAGATTATCACCACTACCTCTGTTTTTGGCCTACCATGAGCTCAAATATTTTTTTAAAAAGCTTTTCCTTGGGACATGGGATAAATTAGGGGGATGGGATTAACATATACATGCACTACTATATATAAAATAGATAACCAACAAGGACCTACTGTATAGCACAGGGAACTACACTCAATATTTTGTAATAACCTGAAAAAGGATATATATAATACACATACGTATATATATATATAACAGCAGAATCACTGTGCTATACACCTGAAAATAACATAGCATTGTAAATCTGCTATACTTCAACTAAAAAAACCAAAAAGCTTTGTGTTTCAAAGGTTTGTATTATGCAAATACTACAAAATAATTACAGCCTTAGAAAATACAGATAGTTATACTTCAAAAAATCATCTGTAATTCTACCAGCATCAAAGAAACAGTGGTCAACATTTTGAACTTTTTGTATGGGTATATGCATTGTAATTCTACAATCAATATTTGTTTCATGGTTAAAGGAATGGAAAGTCCTTACCTGAGCAGACAGAGGTTTCCTGAATGGGATCAAATCCAAATATTGGAATGAAAACAGTGTCAGAAATGTTAAAGAACCATTCATTTTCTTTTTTTTTCCTTTTTAAAAGATTGATAAAGTGTTGAGGGTGATTTTATTATGTTTAGGTCCATGGATTGTGAAATGAAAGCAAAAGGAAAAGAATAATTGAACCATATCCTTTTCCCTATTCTCTCAGGCATGCTCTCCAAAGTCCTGGAGCAGCTCTGGGGGAAGGGAAGAGCACCTTGCTGTGAATTGAGAGGTCTGATTTCTAATCCATCTCTGCTTTGAGGCAAGTTGCTCACTCATTGAATCTCTACTGACAGCCTACCAATTTTCCAGGTCCAAACAGACAGGATTAATTCTTCCTTGGAGACTTCCCTGGAATACCCTTCTACACTCAGCTAATACTTAGCTTTTCAGGAAAGCTCCACCCTCAGATACCCTCAGTGTGTTTACACTTGTTTCTGTGATAATTTAATCAGGGTGCATTCCCCATTTCCTTTGCTATTGTGCTTGATTCTGGGAACCCTTCAGTACCTGTAGGTTGAATATGGCTGTGGGGAAAAAATATGACTGCTTTGAGAAGGGAATTTGATCTGGTCTGGTACTGTCAGGGAGTCCTTGAGAAAGTGTCCAGGAAGATAAGTCTTTAGGAGGGGAAGAGAGTGTATTCAAGACAGAGTGTGTGTGTCGTGACCGTGTGCCGTGTCCGTGTCGTGACCCCATGGACTCTAGCCCACCAGGCTCCTCTGTCCATGGAATTCTCCAGGCAAGAATACTGGAATGGGTTGCCATTTCCTTCTCCAGGGGACCTTCCCTACCAGGGACCTTCCTGACCAGGGATTGAACCCGGGTCTTCTGCATTGCAGGCAGATGCTTTACCATCTGAGCTAGTAGGGAAGCCCTCAAGGCAGAGGGACAGACCCCAAGCAAAGGCTCTGATGCTGGAAGAAGTCCCCTCCCTGTGTGTGGTAGAGAAGGAGTGGGAGGGGAGGTTGGTGATGGCCCAGACTCTGCAGGGGCTCACCACGTTCTGCAACTTTTATCTCAAGGGCAATGGGAAATCACTGAAAGGTTTACATTTATATTTGAAAAAGATAATCCGAGCCGATATAATGTTTTACATGTGCTCACTCTCCTTTCACCCAACTGTGCAGTTAGCCAGATTGGATTTATTCTGCATGGTTACCTGAGGCAGCAGTGAGCCTCCCTGGAGGCTACATGGTTTCAGTTTGACACTAAAAAGGAAAATCAGAACTAACAGTTTTCCAAGATGGAATGAGCAGTCCACAAGAGAGTGTATAACCAGTGTCTTAGATGCTGTGTGGGGGTGAGGAGTACCTAGAATCAAAAATTCCCAAATCCTAGGTCTACATTACAATTATCCAGGGAGCTTTGACATTTATTTATTTACTTACTGAGCGGGCAATCCATTTCCATGGTACAAATTCAACTGATAACCAAAAAAGGCCTAGATGAAATCTCCCTCCCATCCCTGTCCCCAGGTACCCTATTTTCCTCCCTGTGGCCAGATTTGTGTGTGTGTCTCCTAGAACCTGGGTCTGTGCTAACACGTGCTTGTACATTTTCTCCCACATATACTTTTCAGTTTTCACAGATGGCAACATGTTATAAACATTGTCCTGAATCTCGCTTTTTTCCACTTCATGTATGTTGGAGTTGGTTCAATATCAACAGGTAAAGTTCCTCTTTTTTTTTTTTTAAATGGCTACCAGTTGAGGAGCTTGTTTGAAAATACAGACTCTCTGGTCTCCCTTGAATATATTAGTAAAATTGTTATTTGTTTATTTATTTTGACTGCAGTAAGTCTTTGTTGCTGTGTAGGCTTTTCTCTGGTTGAGTGAGGTGCTTGGGCTTCTCACTGCAGTGGTTTCTCTTGTGGAGTACAGGCTTAGTTGCTCTGAGGAAGTTGTGGGATATTCCAGGACTAGGGATTGAACCCATGTCTCCTGCATTGGCAGTTGGATTCTTTACTACTGAGCCACCAGTGAAGTCCCTCCTTTGGATATTTTGATTTCATAGGCTTGTTGTGGGGCCCTTCCTGGAATCTGTATAATCAGAAAGCTCTATAAATTGTTCTGAAATACAAGCAAGTTTGGGAACCACATAACTAAATGACTTCTAAGGCCACTGAATTCCAGAGGCCACACACATTGTTCTAATACATAATTTGTGTTTATCCTGGGATGTGCTGGATAACAAGCCTTGTAGGATGATTTTCTGAGCACAGGCTGAGTCCTGCCTCTTGGTTAATGTTTGCTCTGGGATGACAGACTTTTCTAGTTGAAAGTGTGCCCCGCCCCATTCTTTCATGGGTGTTTCCTAAACAGTTTCACCCACCTCCAGTGCTTCTTCAGCCTCCTGTCTTATCGCAGAGAACTACCAAATTCCTGTTACTGATAGGCATATCCCTCCTGAATTCCTGCCTCTCTTCTGAATTCACCTAGAATGGCCTGCTGGTACCTTACACTGGACTTGCCTCAAGTCCACTTACTTCTCTCTTTCCTTCCTAACCGAACTTATGACCCTCCCTAATGCCCCTGGCAGGAAACAGCTCTGGCATCTTCACCTGCCTGTTCGTCTCCTGCTGCTGACCAGATCTGGCTGGACTCCCAAACCCTAGACCCCAAAATGCTCTGTCTAAATGCAAATCTGATCTCCTTATCTCACCATCAGTTTGAAGCTGTCCTACCCACCCCATTGCTTAAAGCAGGGGCCCCCATACATTTTGGACCCAGGACCTAGAACACACATATCAAAAAATTTTCAATGTATCATGTACTCAATAGTACCTGTAATACACTGTTTTCTCTTTTATTTTGTGTCACTTAAGAATCTTAGCTATGAAAAAAATTTAAAAATCCTAGAGATAAACCCCTAAAATTAATGTGTTATGATGATGGCCTGTGACCTGCAGTTTGAAAGGCAGTGGCTGATAGGCTCAGCAAGCTGATAATGGTGCCTTTCATCTCAAAAGCAGTAAGTAAAAAAAAAAAAAAAAGCAGAATTCCCTGGTGGTCCAGTTGTTAGGAGTTTGAGCTTTCACTGCCTTGGCCTGGATTCAACCCCAGGTTGGGGAACTAAGATTCCACAAAACTGCCCGCAGCACAGTCAAAGAAAAAAGAAGCTGCATCTCCTTTTGCCTTCATAGGCACTCCAGTCATAGAGCTATGACCTTCTCCCTACCCTCACCAGTTCACTATGTCAAATATTTCCACCTTAAATCTC